ACTCGCACACTCATACTCTCGTTTATAGTCAATCTAATTGATTTTGTTGTCTCGCCAAATGGGAACAAAAAGAGAGAAAAAAAGAAGAAGCAAAAAAAAAAAACGAAGCGAGAAAGACGTGAGAGGTTACTATGATTGTGACTCTGTTATATGAGGCGAAGGTAAGCTTAAAATCAAATTGAGATCTGAAGAATATGTGTCTTGACTTTCAGTCGATAGTATTAAAAGAACTACCTTAATTCTTCGATATAGAAATGTTATAGTATTAGTACTATGAGTGATTGATTGATTGATTGGTTTATTCGCGGTTGATTAGAAAAGTCTAGTCATATTAATTGTATTCAAGATATCGTTTACTTTGCTATATCTAAGAGTTAAGTTAATTTGTTGAAAACCATTTTTCTATGTTTATCGAGATAATATTTTTATATCCTTATATGCAATCAACACCATCGGATCACCATCGGTGATACATCTGTAGATAGAATTATGATGATAAAATACGATAAACAACAAATATAGGAAGACTTTTTTCTTGACAACAAGTCAAGGTGAGCATTAAATTATGTTGTGTAACAATTGAGCTAATACACGTTTTCATCAACGAAGCATTCATATGTTTTCATGGTTGATCTAAGCGGTGACATGATGATGATAAGAAATGACAATGAAAGACCGGATGGTTCGAGTAAGTGCGAAGGTTAGATGGAAGTGTGTATGGCGACTTGTTCCCAAAAGATACAGAAAAGATGAAAGCTCATTGTGTCTTCATAGCATTAAGACAATATCTCCCTTGAGTAAGTGATCGACGATGACTGCACATAAATCATTTTCTGAAGAAAGCATGTTAATATTTCAAGAGTTTCTTGTATTTCTTTGTAGTTCAATAAATCTATAAATGCACATACTATCCTTACAATTTTCTAAAGTTCTTCTTTGTTTATGATAAAACACATGAACATGTCAAAATTTGTTAATATAATGTTAAGCCATATTTTGATTTGTCATATTCTTTCAGCATACACATGTTTCGCTGATTTCTCTGATATATTTGTGTACATAAAATCCTTGTTTCTATCTGACGTCATTGTCTTCTTAATAATATTGATATTAAGATCAGTTGACGTAAATTGGCTACCATGCCTGATGTCATTTAGATATTAATGTTTTTCTTTATCTCTCTATCGTCGGCGTTTTTTATCATTTTGCACATAGATATAGATATATGTATATGCACACGTACGAGGGAGATGGTGTATATTAATGTTCTGAGGAACACGAAAGGAAAAACGAAGATAACTGGACGCGATCAATATATATCCAAAGGGGCATTTATTGTGCTACGAACAATATATAAATACTTAAACAATAAATAATCAAAGAAATTTCTTACCGGTGAGTCTTTCTTCTTTCGAGTTTATTCTCTTTTAAATAGAAAATCTGAAACGAAATAATGAATATATACTGTAAATATTTTCTTTTGTATAAGTTTGATTTATATTGTTGTTTATTTACGTGAAAATTTGATGTTCTTCTATTCATGATAAATGAATGAAAATGAACTTCCGTTTTTTCTTTTTTTTTTTCTAGCCTCGATTTGACGTGTCGATTTATTTTCTCAACAAATCATTTTCTTGGCTCTTAACTTTTCTTATTAAACTCAACAACATATATTAGACATTTAATCAATCGATCGTTCAGTCTTGTTCTTTTTTCTTTCATTCTACACTTTATAAATTTATTATTTTGTTATATCGAATAGAATCATTCTATTTTATTTATCTCAAATTGTATCATCAACGACCTTGATTATACATATTTATCTATTTTTTTTTTTATTAATATCTTATATCAAATATTTCTTAAATACCTTTTATCTTGATTTAATCAATCAACTAAGTGTGTGAATAACCCACAGAACAAACAATACTAGAACATCATAATAACAAAAAAACGTGTTCTAGTTAAAATATTCTGTACAATTTTACACAATAGCATTCAAAACAACCTACTTTATTATTATACATAAGGTAAGAATATGACAAACAACTGAAGAGCCGTTGGAGAAAGTTTTGATACTAGACCTAATTCTGCCCACAATACGCATGTCTTGCAGATATAGAGAGAAAGGAAAAAACAGTCAACTTTATCGCACGATCGGTTTTTTTTCTTTTTTGTATGACGGTATTAAAAAAAAGACACTTTTGTTTATCATACTATATCGGTTACATGTTGAGTAGTGTCCTCTACCGATTATACCATCAATCATACATGTATAGATATGTCTATTTTTATTCCTTGATATTTGCCTGCTAAGATATTCTTGTCTTCATTTACTTTTTCAGAAGAACAAGACGAACGTATCAACTTGTCCATCTATTCTGAATTTCTGTCAATAGACAGGCAAAGTCCACAAAGATAAAAAAAATTTCTTCATACGAGAAGACTATTCGTAAGTAATCGTTTTTATTTAAACAGTAAATAAATATTCGTTGATGCATTAAGACAAATACTTTATAAGATCTTAGAGATAGAGAGTTAATTATAAAAATACGTTTACTTAACCACAAACAATATATTCTTTGGTTATGTAAGCAGCATTTTACTATTATCTTTTGATTTTTATTACAATTAATTTTCCCGATCAATAATTTCTAAGTATCCACTATAAGAATAGAACAATAGTTTATACGAGTCGATCACTTTTATTGATTGCGAGATAAGCAAAAAAAAATGAAAGAATAATCACATTGTGTTAATGTTGATATTTTGTGCATGCGTTCGCTCTCTCTTCGGATACCATACAACAACTGCTGCTGTTAATGCGACATCCATCCATCGTTTGGCGTTATGTCTGTCTCTCATACATGTACATATCTACGGATAATTTGTATCTGCTTTTCATTTGTTCTTACTCATTTATTCATCTCTTTTCATCACCCGCAAATATTGTTTTCCTATTTAGCGCTAATTTTTTTATGATTCATTTCCTATATTTTATATCTAATATACATGGTACGGTAATATTCGAGTTTTTATGCAAATTGTAAAATCAATTCAAAAATTATCTTAGAGAAATATTTGTCTATTTATTTATTCGATATATCAATTAAAAATGTATGTTAAGCATTTGTATATCGAATTGTGTAAGATGAACTACAATATCACATAAATATGATATCTAGAAATCATATAGAATTTGTTGAATTAACGAACAAGATTGTCCATTACCAAGGGAATACTCAGATCTCTCCACCTCCTTTTCTTCTTTTTTTCAAATTCTCATGAGTATTTTTTTTTTGGAAATTACTTATTAGAACAGACATCGATATATATTTATGTACCATCTGTGTCAATTTGTCTGTATATCAAGAAAATAAGTCGAAGAAATATTTTTTTTTCTATACTATTGAATGATTTGTATTTGTAATCGTAAGTATTCAAGTCTTTCGTTTTCGATTTATATGCATTTGATCGGCACCATTGATGTTTCTTCTAAATGTCAACATGATACGATCAGTGTACTTAATGAAGGTTCTTTTTTTTTTCTTTAGAAAAAAAAAGCAAGTAAGAAATTCGATAATGAAAGAGAAAAAGGGCTGTGGCAAGTAACATCTGTGCTTTAGTGTTTTTCTTTGTATAGATAAGAAAACGAGGGTTCTAAACTATTGATTCAAGTAGACAATTATTAAAGTTAAAACTAAAGTAACATTTGTAAAATTTGAACAATTAACACAATCGCGCTGTCACCTTATATTGTATATATTGTCAGAATCTATTTGACGAGATCTGCTTTTATTTTCTTTTTTTCTACATAAAGAAGTAAATTCTTTCAAATCAGAAGCAATGAAGTGTCAATACCATTGATTTTAAAGTGTATGTGTATACAGCTTCTTTTTCGTTTTGTTGTTCTTTTCGATGAGATGTAACAACAAATCAAATATATATATTTTATTGCTGGAAAAAGAAGTTCAGTTTTTTTAATATTTATAAGAGCACAATGCACTTATCGATTTGAAGAGATTTATTTTAATATAATGAGAATTCAAAAAATGAAAGAAAATACAACACTGAAAGTTTTGAGCAGGTGGCTACTTCTTGACCTTTTCATTATCAAGGAACACCACATGCCTATCTCTATTTTATATACATTCTAATTGACTTCCCCTATGAGCATAGAAAAGATTAATCGTGCACATACATCATCAATAGACGAGTCACAGACAACCCAAAAAAAATTAATTGAAATTCAATGAGATCAGTGAATATGCAGAGAAGTCATGTCTCGGCATTTCGTCTTCCGCAATGGGCAGGAAAAAATATCAATATATACTGAGTTTTCTTTTTATTTGCTTGTTTCACTGACAGGCATATTCTCAGATAATCGATAGTAACACCTCGCGTGCAAGTACACAATTGTATATATACTCAACTATAATAATAAGAGTGAGAAGGAAAAAAGAAACGAGAAATGTCAATTGTTTTATATATTATCATAGGCTTACATCATCTATTTGATTTGATTGTTTAAAGTAAATACATATTAACGTTGAAAATTTTTCTATTAAGGATTTTTTTTTTTTCGTTTTGCATATTACTGTGAATATAAAACATATTTTCAATCATCATAGCACAATCTGGTTCTGTGTTTGGGGAGAAGAAAATAACAAAGTTGTCTTATTCAATTATAGACTTCGAATGCACTAAATCCATTTGGTGTTCTATGTTTATACTTGGCACAAGGACGTGTGCCTATATGCATTTGTCACAACATAGACACTTGTCGTTTTCCTGGTCGATTGCGATATGCATACACAGATGTTCATTAAAATTACATCAGTAGTTAGAATAGACCTTGCTCCCTAGCTATCAAGACTATAAAAAGAGAAAAAAACGCAAAAGTTGTTGCCTTTCCATTTGCATAATAACAACAACAAGAACAATTAATTTTCTCTCCTCGTTCTTTCGGCGTGCTTAGATGTTCTCGGGTTACTGCAAACATGTTAGGGCAAAGCGGCGTTTGTCGCTATCCATCCAGACAACATAACCTAACCGGCACATTTGATTCTAGAACATCATCATCATCATCATCATCATCATCATCATCACCATCACCATCAGCATTAGAAAATATGAAAAAAGAAATAAGCATAGAAAAAGAAAAGGTGCCTCAGTCTCTCGTTCTCCAAATCTTTTATGATTGACGAAAAATGAATATCTTTTCTTTTCCTATTGTCAATTCTTTTTTTTTTGGCTTTGATAGAAAACGTTTGCCTATCAATGAACATGGAAACTATTGATGACATAGAATCTTCTCTCCCTTATTCTTTTTTTTCTCTTCTATTTTTAACTTAAATACATAGCGATAATAGACGGACGATTTTGTCACACGAACCAGAAAAAAAAACGAGTGCGTGCGAGTCTCTGAGAAAAATGGTGCTGTATGAAAGAGAGAAAAAATTCTCCTTGTGCTTGCTAGTTGTCGTCTTCCTTCTTTCTCTTTTTTTATTACCATCAGTTAGTCGTTTATGAGTTGTCTCTTCTTTTTTTTAACAACGACAAAAGAAGGAAAAGAAGACGAAGATTCTATTTCTACTACAGAGTCGCTGCCAACTTTGACATTTGAAAATTGTTTTTCCTCTCTCATTATTTTTCTTCTTTTTTTCTGTTCGCTTTTTTCTTCACCATCGTTTGACGAAGAAGTTTTTTTTTTGCTCTCCCTCTCTCTTTCTCTTCTTCTCGGTGTTATTGCAGACAGAGAATAGCAGCCGCAATAAACACTACTACCACCTTTTTTTTTATTACTCGCTCGATCTGTTAACGCATCATCTTATGTTTTGGATTATAAAGATATATTCTTATTGAACAAACGAATAAATAGATACGCACGATGGGTTGTTCAAATGCTCGTTTATTAGTACAAGCACCATCGGCTACTGAAACCGGTGCACGAACAAATAATCCTTTATCATCATCAACAGAAGGAACATCTCCAACTAATGTTCCTATTGATACAACAACACGAATGCATTTAACAGGAGTTGATCTCGTTGTGGAAAGAAATGGTTCATACACACTTTTACTCACACCAAAAACTCATAAGCAATTAATGCCTTATGTATTACGAAAGAAAAGATTTCGGTAAGAAATATTAATAATAATTATAATGATTGCATTTTGCATTCAATGAATGAATGAATGAATTAGAGAAAAAAAATTTTGTGAAGTATATATACATATGAAAGATTTCATATGCGTGCTTGTACACATAATGTATTATTAGTCAATCAAATTAGTTTCTTAAGAGAGAAAGAACGATTCGTGTGTATAGCTTCGCATTTATTTCAAACTCACTTATGCGATGTGCGATTGCATGCATGTATATATATATGTGTGTGTGTGTGCATGAATCCACTCAAGAAAAAATAAAGAATGAGTTGTATGTTGTCAGAACTGAAATAGAATCTTATAGCAATGAATAATCGAACAACAGAAACATTTTTTTTTTCTTTTTGTTAAATATATGATGACTGTGTCACATCATCATCTAATACAAAATACAAAAAAAAAAGAAAGTTCTTAATTCTGCATGAATGCTATGAATTCTCTGATATATATATATATAATCAGAAAAAAAGGAATGCCTGAAAAGTATAATGATAAAAGAACGAATGTTCCCTACTGAGTATTTATCACCCTTATGGATAATATTGAAATGAACGTGAAATATACAATTTCCGGTGAAACTAATTTATTGATTGATTAGAGAATAGTTATACTCCCTTGAGGTTAACTCATAGAGTACATTGAGTATTCAATGGTATAATCTCTTTGAATTGATTCGTCTATTCAAACATCTTTTTCAAAGAAAACAAAAACAAAAAATCTTTTTTTCTTGTTTATGTTTTTATGAAAAAGAAAAAAAATTAATTAGATCAATAATTTCATGTTTATTAATCATTTTTCCTATGTTAATAATTTATTTATACATCTAATCTGATATTTCCGATGTCTATTGAATTTAATATAAAAAAAGCTTTTTCTTTCGCTGAATAACACAGATGTCGCTATAGAACATTCTAAGGCTTAATTATCGATAATTCTTTTTATATTTCATGAAATACTTGATTAATAGGAATAAAAATTATTCTTGTATGGGCGTTTTTCTTTTATTATATTCATTGAAAACGAAATAAACACAGACTGATGGTAACAAACATTATTAATAATATGTATTCTAAAAAGAGAAAAAAAAAATCGTGAAAACAAGGATTATGAGTAATATTTTTTTTTTGATTTCATTTAGAATTCTCGTTGATAAGCCTCGTTCAGAACTGACAGTAATTCCTAATGAACAAATCATGGAAAGTAATAAAGAATTAAAATTAACTTCTGAAAAAGATAAAACAACTAAACAAACTCAAATGAATGAATCAACAGTAGAATCCATTGAACAAATTGCATCTGATGAATTAAATAAAGTTGAATCTCGTTTATTATGTGGTCGAAGTATTGATCGTGGTAATCCTGATGATGAAGATGAATATATTCAATCGGATGATGAAGGTATGATTGAAGAAATTATTACAACTGTTGAACAAGATAAAGATCTTGAATGTAAAGTTAAAAAGAAAATTGAAACAAAAAAAACTATGTCACAACATCCTGATACACATGATACAATAACAAAAGTTGTTAAAACTGAAGTTACAGAAATAACACGTACAATAACATTAAATGATCATCATGATATTGAACGTGCTAAACGTGAATTAGGTATTGATGCTGTTAATAAACTTTTACCATCATCAACATGGACTAATCAATCACATGGAAGTGAAATAAAAGAAAAACAAGATGAAACAAAGAAAGAACTAATTACATCAAAAGATTTATCATCGAATAGTCAAATAAAACAAATTCAACCAGAAAAAAAATTTGTCTTATCTGAATCAACAACAGTTGGACGAGGTCCTGTTAATGAAACAATATTATCATCATCATTATCAGTATCATCTTCAAAATCTGAACAAAAACCGATTGAAATAAAAAAAAAGAAAAAAAAATCTAAATTTTGTTCATGTACACGTTCAACTGATGATGAACATAAGAAAGAAAGTTTAACTAAAACTCCAATTGAACAAATAGATCAAATTTCAACAGTAAAAATACCCGTTGTTCAATCAGTTATGGAGACACAAATTCAAGGTCAACAATTAATATCATCAGATATTAAACAGTTAATTATTGATAAAAAATTTCTATTAATTGAATATATACATTCAAAAATATTTGCTCCATCAAAATTATTAACATCCAATGAAGATGATATAAAAGCTAGAAAGATTTCATCACGTATTTTGGATTTATTACGTTATGATCGTTGTTCATCATGGACACAAATGTTTGAACAATTAACTGATGAATATGCTAATTATTTATCGGCTAATTTAATTATACAACCAATGGTTAATACATATGAAAGTTTATTTACGAATAAACAGTCAAATTTATTAAATACATTTTCAACAATTCATAATGAAAATGATATTAAAAATATCCAAGAAAACAATGATTATATAACTATTGTCGAAAATCATATTGATGAACGAGATAATCAACCAACTATTGGGGTTCTTGTACAACAATCTGTTGACAATATAGAAAATACACTGGAGAATTTACAAAAAACTAGTCCAGATGAACAAGTTGAAAAAGGTATTTAAGAATTTAATTAATGTTTATATGACAGACATTTTTTCTATATCAATCTTCGACTTCCATTAGGATATATTATGTTTGATAGATGGATGCATAAATATATGTCCAACATTAACCTTGATGTCAAGTTAACTTTTTCCTTAACATAGCATCTACTATGTATAAAGAGAAGATGATCTTCCTGTATGCTTTTTTTTCGGATAGATATATCGAGGAAAAAACAGATCAATCGACATAAGCTTTCCATCGTATTTTCTTTCTTTTTCTATGTGAAGTTGCATCATTATGGTTCATTGAATATATAGGGCGTGCATCTATATATATGCCATAGCTTGCGGTTAATAGTCTTAACATTTCCTTCTTCATTACGTATAAGACGGAGCAAAAACGAGATAGCCATAACTATGGCATTCGGTCGTTTTAATTATCTTCAAGATGAACATCTTTCATCACGTTATGATCAATTAGTATATCACGTAGTAAAATGAGACGCCAGAAAGAGAGAAATAGAGACGACGACGAAGAAGAAGCAGAAAGGAAAGGATTCTTGTTCACATATATATTTGTTCACATTGATTTGGCGAGCAAACGAGAGGTCATGTCTTTGTTTTATTGATGCATAAATCTCATATTGGCACGACTACTGGATAAATAATAGACACATTGGTGACGGATACGTGTATGTGTGTATAGACATAGGTGTTTGTTTAAGGACGAGTGAACAAATGATTGAATAGCAGAAACAAAAAAAATGTTCATTCGTATGTGTGAACAGCTCAGTGAACAATATATCGGTTGACACAATGAGATTTCGACGACGGTACGTTTTTTCTAAATGCCGTTGGATGCCGTTGGGACGATATTCTAATGTACCTGGTAAGTTTGAATAGACTAAAGCTCACTTCACATAAATCAAACTATTAACCGAAAGCATTGAATTATTTGTTAACACTCATTCTTTGTTCTTTATCGTATGTATTTGAATCTTGTTCTTTCTCTTTTATTTTATCTACATACATAATTGAGTATAAAAAAATTCTTCTTTTAGTTACTAATGATGATGAACAATTAATTAGAGAAGTAAATATGACGAATGATATTCAGCAATCATTACCTGTTTATAATGAAGAACAATTAATAAAAATGCTTGCTGAGATACCTCAACATAAACCAGTAACATTAGCTGAAGCAATAGCATATGAATATATTGATATTGAAGATCCTAAATTAGGTTTATCAAATGATACAATTCAATATATAAAAAATTTATTTCGTCCATTATCTGATCAATCAGCATCAAATTTAATTCGAATTCAACGTTCTGGAGAATATTTAACTGATATTAATCTAGCTGAAACAAATCCATTTGAAAAATTCAATATAACTGAACCATATATTTATCAATTGCAACAATTATTTGAACCAATATTAGATTTTAATGAAAATCAATTTCGTTTATTAACAGAAACAATATTAAAGAATAAAGAACAATATGATCAATTACAATTTGATATAGCACCTACATCATTACCAATTTATGATATGAAAGAATCATCAACAAATGATTTTAGTCAATCAGATTCAGGTTATTCAATGACAACAGCAACACATGAAAGTTTAGCAAGTAAAATAAAAATTGAATTCGAACCCATTAATCAAGATATACCTACACCACCAATACGTAGTGATTTATATGAAGAAGAAAAAATTGATTTAGATAAAGCAACACAAGAACAATTGGATAAATATGAACTTAATCAGGATTTAATTCAACTAATTAAATTAGACTTTAATGCATCGGATAAAGTAAGTTAAATTTTTCTTGTTTTGCTTTATGCTTATATATATATATATATCATCGACTATTTTTACAGACTATTGGACAAGCAATATTATCACGTGAATTACGTTTGGATAGTACAGATCCGAGTGATATAATGCGTTTACATTCGTTAGGTATTCATAAAGAGCAAGCAAGGATCTTGACTGCCTTTTTCTTTCCAAAACATACACGTATAATTGCTTATTCACCAGAACCCGGTCGTTTTGTCGAAGCTCAAACAACATACAATCCTGATTATCCAAGTTATAAAACCGATACAACAATAATACAAATTCAAGAAAAACAACTTTCATCTGATCATCTAGCAAAACAAAGAAATATTCATGATGATCGAGCATCACCAATTTTATCCGAACAAATAACACAATCAGAAACAATTGTTCCAGTTTCATCATCAGAAATTTCTCCAATAATAATTACTAAAGAAAAACTACCATCGCCACCACTCTCGTCCCCACCACCAACATCTCCTCCACCACCACCTCCAACAACAACAACAGCAACAGCAACAGCAGCACCTATAAAAAAACGAAAATCAAGTGGTAGTTTGTTAGCTTGCTTTAAAAGTAAGAAACCTAAAGCAGGAACTGAACAACAAGGTCAAGCAACTATTCAATCAACAACCGCTGTTAGTGAAATAAATACTACACAACAACCAAGTAAACCTAGCGAAGAAAAACCTATTGTTGATTATTCTGTTACACAAGATGGTAAACGAATTTATATCGATGCTTTTCGAGATCGACCTGGTCTTGATATGTCATATAAACCAAATGATTTTGAAAATCGATTCGTTCTACCTATCGTAAGGATTAATATATATATATCCTTGTTCTTAAGCATATCTTTTTTTCTGTTACTTTACAGTAGTATTTGTTCATCTCAAATTGCTTTTATTTTATTCGTTCTTTTTTCTTCTCTTCAATCATATTCGTATTTGTTAATTTTACTTTCTTATTTAGGCAAAGCCAGCATCTGAATATGAACAACCAATTCCACATGAAATTGAACCAATTACTTTTAAGCCTAAAACCATTGAACATGAACCTATGATTCATTTAGAACCACGTTCACCAGTTATTGAACCAGTTGATGTTCAACCTGAAAAAACACCAATTATTGTTCCACTAACAAAAACTGATGAAATGATAATCACAAAAAAACCAACTATTGATTTACATGGAGCAGCTGTTAAGTTACCAGATATTGAATTAGTTCAACCAGGACCATTACCAACATTATCAATTAAAAAAAAAGATAAAACAAAAAAAGTTAAAAAATCAACTGGTGGTTTATGTGCGTCATGTTTTAGTACAAAAGCTAAAGAAAAAAAGAAACAAAAAGAAAGTATTTCCGAAACCATTCAAGCACCTATGAAACAAAAGAAAATTACTGAAATAGAAAAAAAGGAAGATTTACCATCAACTGTAATTTTAACAACACAAAATATTGAGCCACCATCATTATCATCAACTACAGTTAATGAACCAATTTTACCTAAAGTTAATATTGATATATTTAAAGAACGAAATTTTCAAAAGAGTGCTCAGGTAAAATAAGAATTCATTATAAAAAAAAGAAATTATTTGAACAAATACATTTCTTTTTCTAATTCAGAATTTTCCTCAACCAGAACAACGGTTAGATGTAACAATTGAAAAAATAATGCCAGTTATAGAACCTCATCAACAATCCTCACCTAGAGAAGTATTACCACCATCATTAACGACTACAACAACAACTACTACTGCTAGTGAATTACCAGTGAAATCTTCAGCAATAAAAGATACATCAGTTTTTTCTCGAGTTAATATTGATATATTTAAAGAACGAAATTTTCAAAAGAGTGCTGAGGTAAAATAAGACTACGTCACAAAAAAAAACAATTTGAAAAAAAAATCGTTTTTTTATTCAGAATCTTCCTCGACCAGAAAAACAATTAGATGTAACAACTGAAAACATAACGCCAATTATAGAACCTTATCAACAATCATCACCTAGTGAATCATTACCACCATCATTAACGCCTACAACAACAAAAACTACTACTGTTAGTGAATCACCAGTGAAATCTTCAGCAATAAAAGATACATCGATTTTTTCTCGAGTTAATATTGATATATTTAAAGAGCGAAATTTCGAAAAGACTGCTGAGGTAAAATAAGAATTCATTACAAAAAAAAAATCAGTTGAAAAAAATAACGCTTCTTTTATTCAGAATCTTCCTCAACCATCGGAGCAGCTAGATGTGACAATTGAAAAAATAATGCCAATTATAGAACCTCATCAACAAACATCGCCTAGTGAACCAGTGCCACCATCATTAACGACGACAACAACAACTACTACTGCTAGTGAATCACCAGTCAAATCTTCAGCAATAAAAGATACATCGGTTTTTTCTCGAGTTAATATTGATACATTTAAGGAGCGAACATTTCCAAAACCTTCTGAGGTAAAGTTCAATATGAATGTTTATCGTGAAAAACTCTTCAGCTACTTCATTGCATTTTCAATAATTTTTCTTTGCCTATAGATACTATATAGCGTTCTAATAAAAACTCTAACAGAATTTAGATTTATACTGAGCTCTTTGACTAAACTATAGAAGCTCTAATGTGTCTATTGTCTAGAGACCCGAGGTTTTCATTTTACTCAATAGTAATAGCTAGGGAGAATCTGAAAAAATATGTCAGTAGCTCAAACGTTTTTCTTTTCTACTAAGTGAGTCCAAACGCTTCAACAAAACTGCTTGAAAATGGATGATTGGAGAGCCAAGGCATCCCAAACTAGTTTTTAGCATCCATCTGAAGCTTTTTGGAAATGGTTTTCTTCTATAGCGCAGAATTAGATGTCTCAATCTTCTCCATGAATTCCCATCATCGAACTGCATTCAATTTATGAACAGTCTCGAACCGTCAAACACGGCAAAATCAATGAAATTTTTCATAAAAATAAAAGAAAAATGCTTCGTGGTTCTCTGTGAATTGAATATCGTCTGATGAAGGAATATTACGGAGAGAGTCGAGACATCTCATTTTGTTCTATCAAATAGAAACATTTTCAAAAAAATTTCGAATGGGTGCTACAAAACTCGGTGGGGTCTATATTGTCTAGGTATTCATATAGAAAGCGTTCTCCTCGAATTCTCAGATTCATCAATTCTGATAGAGAAGTCCACCAGCTACTTAAACTCTTTTTCAGATTCTTCCCAGCTGTTACAGTCAAGAAGAAAATTCAAAAAGATAGTTACTTCAAACTTATAGTCGGTACTATACATCATATATTTTGTGAAAGTCTCCTATTTCGAAAAGGCTTTGTTCAAACCCTCGAAATTTTTTAAAGAAGCTAGTCTAGTTAAGTACTCTATATGTGCAAAGTTTTCAGATCAAAATTCGAAAACACCAGTTTTTCAACAATCTAGGGTCTCTTGATAAAAATTTTGATAGCTTTGTCAAAGGTCAATAGGACTCCGAACTCTTTAAGAATTTTTATGAGAACACAATGTAGTATTATCTATAAGCACAAAGTCATTGATAGTTGAAGAAACTCCTTCGCAAGTCATTGAAAAACATTGTTTGTTTATTGTTTGTTTTTGCAGACTCCTCCTAAACCAGAAGAGCATTTAGAAGTAACAGACCAAAACATTGTATCACCACCTGAAGAATCTCATTATGAGTTACCAACGAATGAACCTGTACAACCACCCATGGTAGCAATAAAAACGATCGAATCAACCACTAAAGATTCATCGATTTTTTCTCAAGTCAATATTGATGCATTTAAAGAAAGAACTTTCGACAAGGATTTTAAGGTGAAATTTAAAAATATATTCTCCAAGACATTCTAAAAACCATATCTTACTCTTTTTGTTTTAGAATCTTCCTAAATCGGAAGAACGTCCAGATATAACAAATGCAACATTAACATCATCACTTGAAGAATCTCATTATGAATTACCGAAGAACGAGCCTATCGAACCACAAATACTGAGTAGAAAAACATTTGAATCTATACCAAAGGATTCATCAGTTTTCTCTCAAGTTAATATTGATACATTTAAAGAACGGACTTTTGAAAAAAGTCCTAAGGTATTAAAATATAAGCAAATTTCAAAAGTATTTTTCAACAAATATTTTTCTTGTTTTGTTTCCTTTCTATAGGATTTTTCGAAGCCAGAAGTATATTCAGATATAATCGTTGAAAAAGTAATCTCAGGTGAAGAACCACATTATCAATTGCCATCTAGCGAGCCTGTGCCGCTTCCAATAATACCTATAGAAAACGAATATGCAACCGTTGACCGTAATACATATGATGTTCCTCGTACGATTGAACTTCAACAAACAGTATCACCGATTGAAATAAAAACAGACGCAAAAGTAAGCTTTTATTGATTAATCTTATTCAAATAGATTTTCTTTGTTTTTATTTTCCCTTTTCATTCTATAAACTCAATAAAAAGCACTTGAAATAAAGTTTAGAGTACCGATTCATCTAGTTCAGCGTGCTCTATTGATAGGTGTGATGGAGTTTTTCTTTTTATTTTCTCAGGAAGATCTACTCGAAAACTATGTCAAATGATGCATCTTGAAGAGATGATATAACATATATACTTATTTGATTTAGGCTTCTCACTGTTATTAGAAGAAATGATTTGTTGAGATAGGAATCGGAAAAATTCACTAGTGTAAAATAGGCATACACCCAAATGATCGTTCCTGCTAACTCTTCGTATGCTATGAGATTAATTTCACTCATTGTATTTCTGCGTTACATGGTTTATCTCCTACTTTTCCTTCGTCTCTATATTTCGATTTATCATTGTGTTCCTTGGAAGCACTTCCAAATATTACAATGAAATAGAACATAAAACAAAAGAAATTTTCTCAAATGAAATTAATAGAAATATTTGTTGAAAATCCAAGTCCTCTTTAACCGTAGATGTCATTCTCACTTTCACTGCTAAGTTGTGTATGCTTACGTTATATTATATTGTAATCATAACTGTACTCTACGACAAAATATATTACACATTAAAATGCAATATGAGATATATTCGTTACGATATATATTTCGAAAATGTGGTTCGCATCTACTCTTTCATATGTCTGTGATTTTTTACTGCATCATCAACAATTTTTTCTCAAATGTATTCTCGAACAATGACTAATAGACAAATAATCGAGAATAAAAGATATTCAAAAATGCATAAGTTTAGTAGACTTCACCAAATTGCTTATATGCAATCGCATGTACTAAATAAAACAGTGAATAAATGGCTAGGCAATAGACTGTAAAACTTTTTATTTTAGCGTGTTTAGCAACTTTAACATAGATAAAAGCAATATCATGTTACGTTCTATATGAATGACAAGTCTTAAAAAAAACGTGATATAACTGTAGATATATTCTTTCTATGAATTGATTAATTGATTGGAAAAGAATTGTAAGATTCGTTCTATTTAATAGAAAGAGTTAAAAAGAACACGTGGTTCTATTCTATATATAAAAAGCGCGAATCGATCGGTTATATTTGAAAAATTTTTCTCTTTTTATTCAGACAACCAACGAACCAATGATTCCGTCAACGATTGATATTCAAAAATCTAGTGGTGATTTTCTTTCAACTAAAACTGTTGAAGAAAAAGTAAAAAGCGTTGAAATATCTCCAATCATAACTGATATTGTACCAAGTACAAATATTAAAGAAGCCAAAACTGAACAGTCGTCAACAATTGCAAAGAAAACAAAAAAATCCAAAGCAACAAAACCTAAAACTGAAAAAAAATCTGGTGTATTTTCAACATTTTTTCATCATAATAAACAAAAATCTAAAATACCAGCACTCGATTTACCACCAGTAGAACGTGATTTATCATCAAATACTCAATTATATCCAACACATCAGCCTGATACTGATCCATTACATGTACCAGCAACTAATTTACCAAAACCTGATATTCCATTACCAACATATGATCGACCTGAAGTTAATATGAAAACAGGACAAATTAAACAAACATCAGAATTTACTATACCTGCTATTGATTTAACATCTGAATCTAATTTTAATTTACCAGAAGATAAAAAACAAATAATTGGTACAAAATCTGATCCAATGAAAATTCCTAATCTTCAATTACCTCATATTCAATTTACAATAGATGAACAAAAAATTAATAATTTACCTGATATTGAAATAAAAACAAAAGTTGAAGAAATTCCAGTCACAAGAATTATTGAAAAAGATTTAATATTGACATCACCTGTTGAAGATACTTTAAATATTCAAAATGATCAGCAAAATATTCCTATTGAAACTAATGATACTATTCAAACAAAAACAATTATTCTAAAATTATCATCGGATCAAACAGAAATATTAAATAAACCTGAATTGTCATTGATCGAACAAAAGATTACAATAACTGAAATAAATATTGATCAACTATCAAAGCCTTCAGTTATCGTTGAGGTAGGTTTTTTCAAATAAAAAACTCTATCAGATTAGGTGACTCATTCTCAGAATTGAGGAATTAAACTTACCAGGTTGTAAAGCAAGCAGATATATGTCGAACAGTATGTAGTAAGTCTTATATTGATAAGACTTTGAACAAAGATTCTTGTCTGTCAGCTACCTTGCAGGATAGGATATTGCCAAGTGGCAGATCTAACAGGTCAATATCTTCTCTACAACTGATAGGAACTGTAGCTCTGGATAGAAGACCAACTTGACACAGAGTTCTTGCGCTTAAATGCTTGAGCTTCCCTACATACTAATCACTCCCCCAAGCAGTTTTATGCCGCAACATTAGTTAGCATTTTATCGAACGAGTGATCCCAGACAAATAATCGTTGGTGACTTGTCAAGACTATTTCGTGGTCGATGGCACAAAGATTTGAATACAGTTATATTTCATGAAAATTTGTTGAGCTACGCAACCGCGACGACGTTAATTTATTGAGAGATGACTATGTACCCAAACCATAAACAGTAACAATCATGCTTTGAATGCATGCATAGTCATTTATCAGTAAATTGATTCTAGTTCTTTCAAAGTCTTATAAAAATAAGATTTACTACTTTTCATAAGATGTGCCTCTACTTCTTGTGATCCAGCAGAATCGTTTTTCGTTTTTTTAAATTTCTTTTAATTATTTAGAAAAAGACAAGTCCTGATAATAATATTCAATTACCGTCTATAGAACCTGTTGTAACAATATCAAAAACTTCTACATCAAGTTCACCATCATTTGATAATAATGTTCCAACAAAAGTTGTTTCAACAGTAAAATCATCTGAAAAACAATTGATTGAAACAAAAGCTGAACCAACAAAAAAATCTTCAAAAAGTTCATTATGTTCATGTTTTAGTAATAAATCAGCTAGTTCAAAAGATAAAACTCGTTCTATTCAAGCACCAAAAACAAATTTACCAGAAGTTAATATACCTGTTTCATCATCAAATATTTCATCAACATTAAAAACTCAAGGATCATTGCGTGCACCATCGAATGATTTACCACCAGTTGATTTAACTCCAACATCAATTGAACCTATTGTTTTACCAACAATTCATATACAAGATAAAAAACAACCAATTAATCAACCTGAAACAATTGTCCCATTGAATGAAATTAAAAAACAAAAAGAAATTCAAATGTCATTACCAATTCAAGCGCCTCTACTTGAAAAACAACTAGGAGACGAAAAAAAAGTTCAAACAAATATTTCAACAGTAGCGATTGAAACACAACCAGTGAAAGAAACTCAAGTAAGATCCAACAAAAAATTTCTAAACTCTACCCTGTAATAGAAAACTCTCCGTAGTTTATTAATTTCTTGTAAGTCTGAAACTTTAATTAGTATGTTCACATCAAAAAATGTTTGGTTTTCAAAAGGCTCAGGTTATCTATTGTGGAGAGAGGTTTACTAAGTTTCAGCATCATTCTCATTTAAGAGAGAGTTTTCTGCCTTTTGACTATCACACGCTAAAGGGTGCTGTCAAATGACGGATTCAGCTCTGAAGCGATGGGCAGTCCGACGCAGAGTTCTTGCATTGGATTAATTGGGTTCTGTATACATATCCACTAGCTCCAAGAGGAGGTGTATGTCACAACGTAGTAACTATGCTGTTGGACAGATGATCAGAGATAGCCAGCTATCAATGATTTATCTCGGATCATCTCATAGCTGATGATATGAAGGTTTGAGCACACTACGATAGGCTGAAAATTCAATAAAATGAGCATAATTCGAGAGAAAAGCGACTATGGCTTTTTATCTACATCATAAGCTCTAACAATCGGTTACATAGAAACTTGAACAGGAGCTATGAGTTGGTAAAACTCTCTCGTAAGACATTTTGTTGAAAAATATTAGAAAAATAGTCAAGCCTTAACAAAAGAAATTCAATAATTCTTTTAAACTTTTCAAGTCTCAGTAGAACTTATTTAATGATGTAAGACTTAACCTACAAGTGATTTATCACTTTTTAACGTTCGCTCGTTAGTCATGCCATGATTATGTAACCTATAAAATTGATAGGGTTCATGAAAAAGATTGCCTTTTATTTTTATTTACTTATCCTGTTGTATATATTTGTTTATTCTTGTCGAAAGAAGATAATTTGCAGAAACAAAAAATGCCGCAAAAAATACTGAAAGATTTAGAAGAAAAATATTATCAAACAGTACCAATTCTATCTTATATTGTTTATCAAGTAGCTCATTTACGGAATGTTATTATAAAAGATCGAAGTCTAAATATATGGGAATTCTATCCAACTGTTATTTATTCTTTTCTATCATTCAATTATTTTGACTATCTTTAAATAGACCTGCTTTCCTAAGCATTAGATCGGATTTCGACTTTCAAGATATATCCTCAGAAGGTTGATGAGACAGTCTTCTCAAATATCTCCATCCGTTTTTAATGTTTTTGTTGCCTATAAATATAATATAGTGTCCTAGTAACAACTATAAAATGTAAACGAGTTTCAATCTCAGAATTTCTTCCCGCGTAGACCTATTAGGCACTAGAGAAATCTACAAATTTTAGACAAAATAAATACATTCTTCTAAAGATATATAATGTTTAAGTAATTCTGATTTCGATAATTTTTTTTTTTTTGGAAAAATCTCATGTTTTTCGAAAATTCAATATTTTTAGAAGAATGCATTTATTTTGTCTGAAAATTGTAGATTATTCAAATGTCTCTAAGTCTATGCATTGGAAACAATGTAAAATCGAAAGCCTAGCGAAACAGCCATCATTTTTGAAACGAACAGTGAGAAGTCCAATCAATTTTACAGTTTCAACTAAGGCACTATATAGTATCCATAGACAAGCGATTATTAAAGTCAGAAGGAGGGTATTTAAGGACGTTTTAGTAATTTTCATGCAACGATGATTTTTCTTCATATATATATAAAATATCTTTTATTATATTTTTTTTATTAGACCGTTTCTACTGAATCTAAAAAATCATCATCATCATCATTTGAAATCAAAGCTCCAATTTTAAATATTCCCGAACTTAATTTATCCAGACCATCAAAAATTGATGCCTATCAATCTTTTACTAAACAAGAAGAATCAACATCAATTCCTGAACAAATTCAATCACGTTCTGATAGTGGTCTTGAAGCAATTATTTCTTCACATATACATCCATCATCAACATTTGATACAATGACAACAATGGAAGATGTTCAACAACATCCATCAATTAGTTCTGGTTTAGGTAGTGAAATTTTAGATAAACATACAATAAAAAGTTCGACATCATCTGATATTCAAATGATACAACCAAGTGTTATATCAAAAAAAGAAGAAATTAGTTTAACTAAAAATGATTTTATACATAAAATAACAATGAATGATGAAACACGTTCAAAATTAATATTTCGACAAGATCAATTAAAAAAATGTTTAGAAAATGAAATAGCAAAATCAATTATTGATTTTGATCCAAAAAAAGATCATAAACCATTAGAAAAAATTTTAATACATGCTATTGATTTAATTAAAGATCAAAAAGTAACAACATATCCTGAATTACAACAAAAATTAACTGTAGAACATAAACATCAAGCTTTTATTGTTGATCCTGTTGTACGTTCACTGTATTGTACGATTGAAAAAGAGGGTTTAGACAATATAGATAAACCCGAATTCCCATTAGCTATACGTGATGTAAATATAATGATTAATGAGTTCCTATTATTGCATATATTTTTTTTCTCTTTCTATTGCAACAGATGGTACGTCTTCCAGCCAAGCAGACATTTGACACAGTGACGCATTTGAATAAAGAAGAAATGCCATTAGCTACAACACAAATGACAAAGTATGTTATTAGAGAAAAAAAAAATAGATGTATAGGTAGTCCTTCAAAACTTGCATTAAATACATTGACAAAACTAAAAAATGATATAGTTATTTGAGTTAAATTATAACGAAAGATGTTATCATATTTTTTTAAATAATGAATGTCTCAAACATTTAATAAAATTTGTTTATGAATAGATGCTATAAAAATCTTTTTTTTCTGAAAACTGATTAATAAGAATTGGTTTTTTTCTCTTGTTAGATTTTTTTAAAATTAGACAATGGGTAGATGTAATCGTAGAGTAGAAACAAATCAGCAGTGATTTTTATGGTTAATTTTGTCATTAACTTGATCAAACTATGTCTTTAATAAATAGTTTGAAATGAATAAAAATAAAAGAAAAAACAATTTAAACACTTCCACTGGATGAAAGTTTCTTATTCAAAAAATAATGTGTCATTTTACATTTTTCTCATAATGTATTCTAATTGTCTTAGTCATTTTAAACCGCTTATTCAGTAAAGACTTTGATTTGTTCAATAATTAGTGAGAAACCAATGATTAAAGTAATTATTGCTTAGTTTCTATTCGACGAATATTATGTAAAAAAAAAAAAAAAGAATGTTTGTAGGGAAAGTCGTAGGCGTATGAGAACGGCGATTTTACCGACAACCACACTTTCAAAGAAAAATATATATATATATACTTTTCCCAATTTGATCCTAGTTGTCACAAAAAAAAATTAGCTTTGTCGGTAAAAGCATCTGGAAGAAAAATGCGCAATTATGTACAGTTTTCGTTAATCTGAGTTTTTAGTATTTAAGAACAACTGTTTGATCCAAAAATGCACTCAGTAGATAGATGTTATTTCAGACTATACAATAGCCACAAGAAAAATTGGGTCACGAAAGGCGGGGGTGCCCTTAAAATAATTAGATTATCTTATCAATTTGATGATGCATATTATTTTTCTTTATAGAGAAACTCGTTCTCCTCATTTGGATGTTTCTATTCCAAGTGAAGCATCCATAACTATCGAAAAGAAATCATCAGAACAAACAAAAAAACCAATAGATGATAAAACACGTTCTTGTTTAACATGTGGTCGTTCAAAATCGAAAACCAAACTTTCATCATCATCAACAACAACTTCAATCAATAGTTTACTTGATGAACGTCGTCGTTTACAATTAAATACTCATCGTCAAGAATTAGGTACTGTTCTTCATGAACATATTCAATCATCACAACCACCAATTCGAAAATTTGATGAACATTCAAAAGAAGCTGAAAAAATCATTCGCAGAAGTTTAGTACTTGTTACACATCCAAAAATTCAATCATATGAACAAATTCGTAATGATTTAAAAATTGAATATAAACAAACATTTTATCTTATTGATCCAATTGTTGATATTGTACGTGATACATTTAATCATTGTGATATAGTACAAATGAATGAAAAAACTAATATTAATATATTAAATTCAAATATTTCACAAACAGCAAATTTATATAATAATCAAATAAATTTATTAACAACTCAAGAATATAATTTATTAAAATCAAATCAATTATCATGGTTACAATCATATTTAATTGATAATGAAACAAAAGAAAAAAAATTAACACGAAAACAAATTAAAGAATTAAATAAAATTTTACAACGTAGTTTAGAAATACTTTCAACTAATCTTATATCAACATGGGATGAATTATTACTACAATTACAACGTGAATATTCTAAAACACATGATTTATGTATACGTTCAATTGAATTATTAAAACAATCACATAGAGATGGTTTATTTCTATTACAACAAGCTCCAAGTGAAGAAAAACGACGTTTATCATTTTTATTAAGTGAACGTGCAAGACAAAATTTAAAAACAAATCGATCAAAAGTTATTTTATCATTAAAAAATTTATTAATTAATCATAATAAATTATCAAATGATAATAAACAATTAGATATTTATCTTAATAAAACATTTTCCTATTTAGAAGAACAAAAACAAGGACAATTTAAAACTTATAATGATTTAAAACAACGATTAAAACAAGATTTTAAAAATAATAATCAAGATTATTTAATTGAACAAATTGTTGATATTATTGAGCAGGCACATGCAACAAATCAATTTGATGATATTGATAAACCAGAAGTACAAACTTTAATGAAAGATAGATTAGAAGGAAAACGTATGTTTTATTATTTTGATCTTTAATTGTAATTTTTAATTATCTTTCTTTTTTTCTATTTTAATTTTTTATTTAAGCATTAATTATTAAAGAAATGTATGTTTCATTACCACCACGTATAGGTGTAACAAAATTTTCAAATGATGAATCATCACGTTATTTATTAACATCAGTAAATGGTGATCGAACATTAACTAATACAACATCATCACATTCAATAGGCCGTGGTCTTAGCTGGAGAGAAGCAAATGAACGTGCAAGAATTTTATTCTATAGAGGAAAACATCCAGCTATACATTATGATGAACAAGCTGATGTTTTTGATGTTAGAATGTTACTTGAAACAGCATCGGGTGGTACTCAAGAAATACCTGTTACAGATACTGACGTAAGAGAAAATTTGCTATTTACTTTATGAAATAATATATTTTCGAAATTCGATTGATGTCTCTCCAAGATCTGACCTTTTTTTTTTGTTTTCATTTTTTGCAAAAACTCTGAAGAGACGTAAATCGTATTTTCAAAATACATCTTTCTGTACAATGAGTTTCAAAGAATAAAATTCACTATTCAGAAAAAAAAATCTGTTGTCTTCAACTTATTTTACTGATACGCAACTTAAAAAGCTACATCTGTTTCTAAAAAATGCATCCAATGCAAATCTCTACTATGATCACTCCTATCCACAGAAATCTTATATTTTTCCTTGTACTACAAATATGTTTAGAGGTTGAATTTAACCTAAAATTTTATTCTAGATACACTTTTAATTGACATGAAGTGTTGAAAACAAATATTATTGCTCTTTAATAAAATGCATTTGTGGAAGTACATTGTAACTATTTCATATGAATGAGATTGTAGTTATATTAGACCAATAAATTTTATTTTCACTGTGAGATTTCGTCCAACTTTAATTTGTTTTTTTTTTCCGTAAATGCGGCCTTTCTCCTTCATTTTTCTTACACACATTATCTCAGCTCTGTACTTTACATTATCAATGAGTTATGAGAGATGTCAAACAAGACAGCATAATTTCTTTTGTGACATATGTTAAGGAAAGGAAATGTTTTTAACTATAATTAAGAACGAGAACAAAAGATATAAATCGTCTAGCCTTTACAATGTTTGATATTACATGAAAATCGTATGGTTTCATTGCTTTCATTAGGATCCATATTTTTTTTGACTTATACTAATTTGATTTTAATTCTCCCTTACGATAGAACATATAATATATGTGACATAGAAAAAAATGGACAAATTTTTGTGAATAAGAAACCAATGAGAAAATTTATTCGTCTTATCAATCGTTTTTTTTTTTTTGAGAGAAATTACTATACTCATTTTTTATTTCTGCAGATATTTTCAGTTGAAAATATTCTTTTCAAACATAATGCAACTCATAAGAAGTATTTTTATGATATTTATTAAGTTAATGCTGTAGTAATGTAAGAGACGCACTTTTATCATAGCTATAACTTAGGATAGAAGCAATGAAAAGATTCGAAATTTTTATACTAGAATATTCCTGTTAAAGTTTTCCTCTATACAAAGTTTCAAATCAAAATTCGAAAATTAGTTTTTCTGATTTTTCTAATAGGGAACTACAGCATTAATTTAAAAAAGTATTATAAGAATGCAGTCTCTCTACAGCAATCAACTAACAGCCCTAGAACTTCTCAGAATGTTTATATTTCATCAAGATCTATATTATGCATATAGCTCTAACTCAATAATGATTAATCAGAGTCGAGAACTTCACTTATCAGCTGAATGTAACAAGCATATCTATATATTAACAATTTTTTTCTGATTGATTACTCTTCTTAGAATAGATAAGTAAAATGACTAGAAACTCGTCAATCAGTACAATCATATCGTTTATTTTGATTAATATTCTGTAAGATGTTGAAGAACTTTTTCTATCTACCATTAACATAAAATATAATAAAATATCCCATATAATCGAAAATTGATGAAAATTATTTATAATTTTTGTTTTAAATAGCAATCGTAGCAGAAAATTGTACCTATTTGCTTGAATAGATAATTTCGCAACTGTTTCTTATGGATTTTTACAATAGAAACATTAATTGTCACAGAAAAAAATAATTAATTCTTTTCATTTTTTTTTTTTAAGATTCACGAATTACTTAATTCATGTGGTGTTCAATGGGATGGTGTAAATATCATATCATTAGTTGATCATAGTGAAGATGTTGTACGTGCTGCTGAACAAGCTGCATTAAGAGTTATTCGAGAAAAAGGTATTTTTGATTTACGAGTACCACCATCAACAACAACAAACGTTGATATTCATGATGATGATCATAATGTATCAGTTGTTTCACCTGATGCAACAACATCATCTTCATGATTTTTCAGACATTTTTGTTTTTATTTCATATATTTGTGTTTTCTTTATTGGTGTTCAAAGCGTCATTTCTCAACTTTTTTCTCTCTCTATATATATATATTGACTAACTACACATAGTATTTTTTTTTTGCACAAATGCATACGTACAAGCATACACAAATCATATTTTGATTTAGAAGAGCTCGTTTTTCTTTCCTGTTTCTATTGTTGTTGTTATTCTTTGCTTCAGTAATTCTTAATGAAAAGAAAACAACATTTTTATGTGTATGTAAAAGAAATAGAAAAAAATATTGTCCGCTTCAATTTTTCTTTTCTTTTTTTTTTAAGTTGCGATATATATATTATATAACGTGTATTTAGTCACTTGCGTGTGCGTGTTTTTCAAAGATATATTGTCATTGTCGTTATTTGTCTCTATGAAATAAAAACCTCATTTTTTTGGAGAATGATGCAATTAGAAATGTTGATCATTGTATTGTGCATATAAAAAAAAAAAAGAAAAGCAAGAAAATAAAACACAAACAATGAGCGGATAACATTAAAAAAAAAAGAGAAAAACAAAACAGAAAGAGAGAGACAAAGATGAGCGTATCACGACGATGTTGGCTGATGAGTTTGTGTTGAATCGTTGATTTCCTTTGATATATTCGTACTTGTAGTAGTCGTAGACGTTCTAGATGATTGATGTTCATCAGCAAGTTCTTGCCATCGTTGAAGATTACTTCTAAAAAAAATTGATTTTTAATAGAATATAATAAGTAAATGAGTGTTTTTTTTGCTTTTAATATACCTGGCTCCATTAAGCATAGGCATTGTTTCAGGTAGAATACGTGCGATTAAAGAATAGCACGGGACACAAATACTGTTGATAAAATTCACCTAGAAAACGAAAAATTAAGTTTTTAGACATAATAATTAATCAATATGATTCCATGAGAGCTGCTTTCTTCCTCTTTTTTGGCTATTTCTGGTTCTCAAGGTTGCTATCACGAACCTTAATGAAGTGTTTACTACAGATAGAGTACCCAACATAAGAAGACATGTATTCGTGAAAAACAATTTTACACAAGATTTTTGCAGTTTTCATAGGATCACATCGGATCTGCTTACTGTCCATGTCCAACTTTGTACGCTTGGGCTAAAATTTTGACTACGAATACTTGAAAGTATTTGCCAGGGATGAAATCCGCCATATAAGTTTTTGACTTTCGTATTCGAATTTATAGAACGCTAAATGTCAGCACTCCGATTTTCAATTCGAATCTTTACAAGTATCTTGTTATTTTAGGTGCTCTATCTGTGATAAAAATATAAAGCGAATCCGTAGTACTTTCTTTGCAAACTAGAAATAACTAACAAGAGGAAAGATGAGAGTCTTAATAACTTTTATATGATGCAAATTTAGGTATCTACCAGTCCTAGTTACAAGTCGAACAGGGATTGATGCATACCTATGGATATTTTATTAATAATGAATATAGATGTTAAGCAAAGAATGTGATTGATTTTTATTTTTTGTAAATTATAATATTAATATATAGTTATTTTACCTGGTTTTTTGGCAACTCGTGTGCCAATGATCGATCCATTAATGACAGTGGTTGAATACCTCGTCGTTTTTCTTCATCACCCTGTATGAATAAATTTCAGATTAAAATTAAAAACTGTACAAAACATTTCTCTCCCTCTTGCTTTCTTTCTTTCCTTATTATTCTCAAAATGAAATCCATTAAAAAGAAAGTAGCAAAAAAAGATATATCTTTTTTTTTGAAAAGAAACCACACCTCTTGCCAAAATTCATCCATGATTGTATTGACAACATTTTGTTGTATTGGCCAAGGTTTATACATAGCACATAAATCGACTGCTGTCATGGATAGTGATTGCAAACGTTGACTGGAAGCAAAAGAAAAAAAAAAAAGATGCACACAATGAACATCATTATATGATGAACTTTTGTGTGAGTATTAACTTAGTTTTAAGAATAGAAGAATTTTGTAATAATCACTTCCTTTTCTTTTTTTGTCTTTATCATGGTAGTATTATCAATAATTACTGTTTTCTTGTTCGATTTAACATAGAGAGCAAGAGGGAGAGAGCGAGAGAAAAAAGATCAAACATATTAAATCACCTGTTGAAAAAATTCCTCCATGATGATGCTCACATTCGACCGCTGTACTTCCCATTGTTTAAACGAAGAGCATAAATCAGCAGCGGTCATACTGAGCCCCATCATGAGTTGCCTAGAGAGAAGAGCAAAGCAATCAAAATATAATATAATTGATCATCAATATAGCATCACTAGAGCAACAGAAAATTTTCAGAGAAGAAAACAAAAAGAAATCATCAATGATAAATTTTAATACTTAATACATATATATATATATATATATATATATAATCAAATTGTTTTGAATATAGAAAATAACATATTCTACTCACATATGTTCTTTATTATTCCAATCAAATTGAGAATTATCAACAACACGTTCAAGTTTTGGACGATTTTCAAAAAATAATACTAAATCTGTTGCCAGTATACAATGACGAATTTCATCTAGCATTTGTCGATATTCTTTTGATGAAAAATGTTTAAATATATTATGACTATCCGTCTAAATATACCATGAATTATTTTAGTAGTAGAAAATAAATTCGCGATTTTACTTGTAGTATGGTTACTGTTTGATTAAAATGATGTCGTTCCATAGTTGATGTTGAATAAATAGAAGCAAGAGTTGAAGCACTTTTTACCATATAATCATTGGTTTTACCACGATGATCAAGATCATGACAAAGACAAGCAACAAACAGAGCAATACACTAAACATAATTAACATGTACTACTTTTTTATAATTAAATTCATATTGATATATTTTTTATTACATATCTTCAATCAAAGAAATAACTATTCATATTCATAGATCTTTTCTTCTTTAGATATGATCATTTTCGTAAGTTTTTCAACTGAATATCTTAACCTCTACCAGATTACCTTCATAGTCGACTATAGAATTGTAACTCTGCATAATAAATGTTCATAAAAGAACAACTACATTATGCAAGTATCAGATTTTCTGGTATCAGATTCTGTAGTGTATCGTCTATCCTAATATGTAAATACAAAAACAATGTTTGCTCATTTGCAGAAAAGAATATTTAATCTTGGTAAGTTGAGATAGAAGATATGAGAAAATCTGATACTTTTATAATGAAATAGTATTATTAAGAATTTAATTTGTATAAAGTTAGAATTGGAAAGTCGATTTTGATGATAATCTGAGAAGAGTCTAAGGAAAGATGTCTTCCTGCTGATAAATCGTTTTTGAATTGAGATAATATGTATTATATAGATGTAAACAAACTATAAATGTCCTGAAAAGAATTTATGCTCTTTGATTATTACAGCAGATGTATTGTATTTTTACAGTATTTGTAAATGAATGCTGTGTTCTCTGTAAGAAACACTAGTGAAAACTAATTTTAATTCTTTTTTTCGTGAAAGAAGGACATCGAATTTATCGGTGTATATCAGTGATATAAAACCAATGTAATAACTATCGAAAAACTCTAGGGGGTTTACTGCTGGTTGTTTTTTGAGAGTATTGTGTCATAGTCGATTGGAACGAAACGAGGAAAATTTTCTAAAATCTGCGAAAAATGATACTATTGAGTCGATTTTGAAGCACGCTGATGATGTAGATACATTTGAACTGCCTATACTAGCGACCGAGCCTAAATTGACTCCACGTATGAAATAAATTTTTATTATAGTGACAGTGAAAAAATGCTTATTAGTAAAATAAATTGTGAAACTATGTTCTTCTCAGTGAATTTAAATTTTTTTTAATAAATAATTCGAATTTGAGTATAAAACATTGCAATCACAAGCGTGCAACATGAAAAAACTTGCTTTTATCAAAGCTGTATTTTAGGATAGGAACAATGAAAGTAGCTGAAATTTCCAAAAGAAAACTATTCTTGTTAAGAACTGTCTCTTTACAAAGATTCAAGTTGACAACTGAAAATTAATTCTCCTGTTGTTCCTCATGGGATCACAGCTTATAATTTAAAAAGTGCTATAAAAGCGTAGTATCTCCAAAGTAACAAGTTAAGAGCACGAACTCTTTTCAGGATATTTATAGCTCATTGGAGTCTACATATTGCATGATGTCTCCACCTGAAAGCAATGTATTAGTCAAGAGTTTTCCCTCGAAAGATGTTGTGTTGAGAAATATGACAAAAATAGTTAAACATCGAGAAGAAAGATTCATAAATCCAGATTCTTTTAGATTTTTTCTTCTCTCAATAGGATCTCTTTCATAATCTAAAAATTATTTTAAAATATAATTATCACTTGGGGAAGTTCTTAGAAATCGTTCGATGAATAATAATAATAATAATAATAATAATAACAGAAGAAATAATTATTTAATATAATTGTAGAGTATCAGAATTTAATTTTTACTTTCTCTCTAATAATTATATGGTTCTTTTTACAAACCTGATTTGGTGTAAATTGATGTTTAGTTTCTTTTATCACAGTGTAAATTGCATGTGCAACACTGAATGCATGTGACCAATTATGATAAGGAACATTACGATAATTTTTTCGTACAGTTAATGTAAATTTTATTAAACATTCCATATCAAATCTAAAGGAAAAAAAAAACAAGCCAATCAAATAAATAAAATTGTTAACTATTTACCTATTGGCATGCAAGGGATCCATATTAGCCAAATCACAAAACATGTAAAGAACATAAACAGGTTTCATATCATTAGCAACACTCCATGGAGAAAATTCAAATTGTCTAAGACCTGGAATGTTGCTTGGAAGTTCCTGTCTTTTATAGCGTTCATATTCTTCATCAGCACATGATGCATGATATGATAAGACTTCAAGAGCGACTTTACATTTTTGTTCCGAACGACGTATACGATCATAAAGTGATGCATGATGTAAAGCTTATCAAAAAAAAAAAGATGAAAACAAATA